GTAAATCAAATAATCATTTCATAAAGTCAGTTAAAAATGAACTCTATCAATCTAGAGAATAACTTCTCATTTCTGTTTAATCTTACTAAAGGTCAAAACATTTAAACAATGCTAATCATCACATCTGACTCTTTGTTTTTCCTTGCCATTGACAGGCCAGACAGCCTTACCCACCCCCGCTGGTGTGGGGAGGTGGCGTAGGACCAGAGTCAGTCACTGGAGAGACCCACCCAGTCCAGGAGACCACCTTCCATGTTCCCCCTCAGCACCCTAAGGCCCTGCATCCCCACTCACATACTCATCACCACCATGGGCCGATGATGGCAACACGGCCACGCCCACGCCACTACACCTCCCCGACACACAGCTCCTCAACCCAGGACTCCATGGAGGTGGTTCATGGCCATCTGTCTATGACCTCCCTGTCTTCCTCTGCCTCCTCTTCCTCTACATCGTCCTCTTCCACTGGGAACCATGGCAACCAGGCCTACCAGCTCCGCCATTTGCCCGCCGGAGCCCTTGACTTTGGTCAGAATGGTGGGCTGAGCATGGGGCTAGGTGCCTTCTCGAACCCACGGCAGGAGACTGGCATGGCAGCGCACCCTGCATTCTCCATGGGCACGAACACAGGGCCCGCCCACTACCTAGCGGAGGGCCACCTGGGCATGAGGCAGGGCATGGACCGGGAGGAGTCCCCAATGACTGGAGTGTGTGTGCAGCAGAGTTCAATGGCCAGCTCGTGACTGCACTGACATTTGGCTGTGTGTTCCCCCCTGTGCGTCATTTTTAAGGTGGTGTTTTTTACTACAAGGTGTGTTGAGAACAAAAGCTGCTCACGTCAGAAGGGAGATATCACTGAACCGCTACTACAGAGAAAACCTTTGTTAAAAAGTATATATGTAATTTTCATCAGTTTTGTTTTGCAATCATTAGGCACAAAATAATACTGCGGAATAACCATAGTGAGATTGAGACATCCATCTTACCATTTCACCAGTTTCATGTAACCACCAAGTAATCACCATATGGTATTATGTGGCAAAATCTTCTAAGGAGCATTTCAGAGCAAAGTTTGAAGCTGTTTTGCAGGTAGCTGTTGGTGATGAAATGCTCGGCGTCCTCTTTCGGTTCAAACCGTGGACTGCCTGACATTACTGTTCCACTGGTTCTTAATTATTTTGCCCTTTTTTAAGTGAAATTTCTCGTAAAAAGCTGCTTGTAAATCCTGTAGCTTGACAATGAGGGAAAGTGTTTGCGGTGATATTTCTTGTTGTTGGTCGGTATTGTGTAACTCTGTCAAAGGGGAGCACATAGCAGTGGAGTCCCTATAGCGTGCACTGGCCGGGTGGAGAGGAGACCCCGCAGGTGGATGCTGACACCAACCGGGTCAAAGGAGAGGGAGGCACCACCCCTCTTGCCTAGAGGCCCCTGTAGTCCTGCAAGCTGCAACCGGGCCCGGCACAGATGAGAGCAGCAATGGGCGCGGGAGACGAAAGGATCCAGCCCAGTTAGAGGAAGACAGTCAGCGGCTGGTTCTAGATAACCCTTTGGCCTTATGACTCATGGACTTGGAATGGGATGGAGCTGGACATTATCATTTGAATTAAGATGGCTTTTCTCTATTTTTCTCTCTAGACAGCCCTTAATTCTTTAAGGAAATTAAAACAACTTAGAAAAGGTAAATAAGAATGGTAATTTGAGGCCTTTCTCGACAAAGATTTCTTCTTCAGCAGGGCCCCATATAACAGGGTCTTATTGTACACAACAACCTCCTAAACATTACTTCCTTAAAAATCTTATTCACTGGTTAAGGATTTTGCAGTGGAAAGAACTATCTATTCCAGAGTCTACCCTTTTATGTTTAGTTATTTTTCCCTTTTGCATGTAGTTCCTCATCAGAACCACCTGCACAAGTCTCTCCATCCAAAACATGGAAACTGAAGAAAAAAATGAGTTAAGTGACTGCCTTTTTTCTCCTCAAATTATGCTGTGAATTTTACAAGAATTTATTTTCCCTTTGGATATGTTTTTATACCAAAGCAGTTGTTTTATAGCATATAGGTGTCTGTAACCAATAATGTAGCAGTTCACCACTTTGACGCAAAGTTTATCAAGATCTTATTTTAACGTCAATACAAACAGCTGCAATATATTACTTTAGCAAAACTGGAGACCGTTGTTGAGACCGTTGGCTATCGTGTATTCTGGCCAGATTTGTTTGCAACGTTTTACCAAAACTGTTTCCATATTAATTGGTAGATTATTTTGGGAGTCTTTTAAAACTTTGGTATGTTAGAGAATTTGGTAGTTACTCTGCAGGCTCCGGAGTAGCAAGATAGAAGCCGATGGTTTAAAAAAAAAAAAAAGGAGACTAATGCGTTCTATTTCTGTGTCGTCGTTTTTCTTTTGCCCCCATCATACTATTTCAAAGGGTTTTGCTGCCTTTCATACATCATTTGGTCAACTTGGCTAGTTTCTGCGGTGAAGCAAGACTATGTCATCATCCTGGCAGGGTAAGGATAATTGTGGCAAATCAGTTTGTGATGAATGGTATTTTTCTGATTTGGTAGGGCAGATCCCCCATGATTGTTGTCCTATTCAAAGGGAAAGGGTGTCCGTCAACCCACAATCACATGCTTTGCCCAGGCAGACATGCATGTCCTCAAAACATTAGTCAATAACCAGATTTTATTTTACTATCAGGGATTTTGAAGTGCTTTCTTTCTTCTGTTGCTCATTTTACCAGCTTTGAAATTAGACAGAAAAACCTGCCCACAGCCACCTGTCAAATTAAGGGCAGGCCACAGGTCATGCTGTTGCCATTTATAAGGAGAAACCATCGTAAGAGATCATGCTTGGTATTTCCACAAACACAAATGTAAAGCTACCTATATTGAGATTGGGGTCTTATCTGGATGTCAAGGTTAATTGCAAATTTGCAATCATTTTTCATACCCCGCAGAATTTGAGACATTTAGAAATAGCCAGTGGTTTTATTACTGGCACTCATACTGGTACTAAACATTCCAAAAATAAAGACTGAAAAAGAAAAAAAATTGACTGCAGTGACTCGTAAGTGTGCGCCTATTTCAGATCATGCTGATTGACCTCTTATTTAGAGCAGTTGTCATGAAATGCAGCCCCTTTTTAATAGTTGAAATAGAATTTATGTATATATTTATATTTTTTTAATAAAGGAAGTATAGAACTCACTACCTTGCTCCTGCTGGTATGTTGATTATGTTTGTCAATTTGGTGACCATTCAGTGGGCAGGAACTCCTGTTTTCTTAGTGGCAAAACCTTGCCTTTTGGCAAAGGTACTTGACTACATCAGGACAACACTATGAGGTAGGGTTTGAATCAAACAGGGAAAGCTAGATCTTCAAACCTTAATAATTTTCACAGGGTATATTGTAAGTGCATGTACATCACAAACCTTACTTTTTGGTTATATGAGAAGCACATGGTTGAAAAAAAGGTTCCATCTTTCATAAGCCTGTTGAGTTTGTGGGTTACACACAAACACGTATACTTGTTGACATATCTGAACACCCAACAGAAGTTGAAATCCTCTTATTTAATTTGGATTTATCCTTTTCATTTTTGATTTCACATTTTTTCACTTTTTTTGTACATGCAACATGCACTATAGAATTGAACAGCATGGGGGAAAGGATAAGTCCATGTATCCACAGATTGTAAGATCTAGTCAAGACTTTGCTGTGTTTATGACAATGCCCTTTGTATTATATTAAGACAGTCTTATGTATGATATATAAAAAGAAGTTAATTGAATTCCTCTGTGTGTCTTTATTCCTCTTTGTCAACTCCATCTACATTATCTTCCTTACGGGAATAGTTCATTCTTCATCCATAGTTACATGATCACCCGCGATCCACGAACAAAATATCCAAAGGTTCTTTTACCGAAAGAATATTCGAGGGTTTACAAGTGTGTATGCTACAAAAATCATGACGGCAGAAACGCAACAAGGTGTCTGACTTTAACATGTTATAAATTCACGGAAAGTCGGACTTAGTGTTCTGGCTCGTTGGTCTAGGGGTATGATTCTCGCTTCGGGTGCGAGAGGTCCCGGGTTCAAATCCCGGACGAGCCCACTTCCTTTTACATTGGGGCAGAAAAAAAACCGAGTTGATACAGTTCATCCAAAGAAACAAATTACTGCAACAATATATGTGGTTAAGCAATCTTAATGATTGTCCCTTTCAGATATTTGTATCAACATGTTTAAACCCGTGGGACTTTTTACGATGACTTCTGATGTTTTCCTCTAAAGTGATCACAAATGATTTTGAATTTGATGTTTGTTGGCTGAAGCGTAAGTTAGTGAATCCCTGACACATTTTTGAACCATCACTGAAAAATTGGGCTCGTCCGGGATTTGAACCCGGGACCTCTCGCACCCTAAGCGAGAATCATACCCCTAGACCAACGAGCCAGATGACGACAAAGGGCTTCAGGCTGTATTATAAAATCATGCTTATGTATCTACTGTGAGCCTTTTGTCTATTCCTTTAGACTTTATTGGCTTATGTAAAGACATTTACTGGGTTATGTCCAAACATGTTTTTTAGCTGATGGACTTCGGCTTAAACTCACCGCAATAAGCAAGAAAATGGTCGTTGTGAAGCGCTACCGATAAATAGTTAATGTACCAATTTCTTAAAAAAGGCTGTTTCCTTGCACTTTATTTTATCGGCGACAAAACTACATCACACGCGAATCAACATCGCACATCCTGTCCCGCTTTGAAATGTTAAATTCAATGACACTAAATGGAGACATCCTGCAGCTTGCGTCCTTATTATGTCAGCCAGCAGATGGTAGTCGTCCACCTGAAGCGTTGCTCTCTCTATATTTATCTGAGAAGAAGAAGAAATAGTTTGCTGTCTTTTTATTGGTTGAGGGATTCGCTCTAGACCAATAGCCTTGCTTCTGAGTTCACGCTTGTCCTATCAGGTGCGTTGTGGGCTGGACTTAATCTTGCAAAACGATCTCCTCAAAATTAAACCGTTGTGTATTCGTGGTAAATAGATCCAGTTTGGATAATTATAGCCTTTTGTGTTTACGGAAACGTCATTCAGACTTTACAAAGGAGTTGTATGCGTTGTCTCATATTGTTAGAAAACGTAGGTGGCAAAGTTAGCCGATGATTATTGTAGGCTAAGTAAACTAAGCTAACTACCTAGCTTGAACCATGCCGAATTTTTGCGCGGCCCCGAACTGTACACGGAAGAGCACACAATCAGATTTGGCTTTTTTTCGATTTCCAAGGGATCCAGAGAGGTAAAGCATCACAACTAACCTTAAAACCTCATGTGGTAGTAGGCATATTTCAGAGCAACTACCTCTATATTGTAGGCATAAAAAGGGTATAAAACATTTGACCCTGTATTCAAATTGAAAAATTAAACAGTAAAATTGTTTTAATAACTAACAAATGCACATTAAATATTTCCGATTGTTTTTTTTTCGTAATCTGAGCTGTAGCAAGAGCTGTTTCCACTGAAGTTTGACACTTTCTCCACAGTTGAGTGGCATTAGAACAATAGTGGGACAGTGGTATACACAGTGGTGTACACAGTGGTGTACACAGTGGTGTACACAGTGGTGTACGCAGTGGTGTACGCAGTGGTGTACGCAGTGGTGTACGCAGTGGTGTACGCAGTGGTGTACACAGTGGTATACACAGTGACATCACTGTATAGTATATATTTTTTTAAACTTTCTATCTTTTTTTTAAGATGCCGAATCTGGGTAGAGAACTGCCGCAGAGCAGATCTAGAGGCGAAAACAGCAGACCAGTTGAACAAGCACTACAGATTGTGTGCGAAACACTTTGACCCAGCTATGGTTTGCAAAACAGTAAGTATCACACACTTTTGTTGTCAGTAAGTCTGGCAGCAAGTTTCCAATTGTTTAAAAAAAAAAAAAGTCAGTCTACCAAAAAATGCTTATTAGAGTTGATGTCTTTTCAGAGTCCCTATAGGACAGTGTTGAAAGACACAGCCATTCCAACTGTGTTCGATCTGACGAGCCATCTAAAAAATCCTCACACCAGACATCGCAAACGGATTAAAGAACTTGTAAGAAACACCTGTCGTGTTGTTTTAAAGAAACCTCATAAGCTCATAATGGTTTGACCACCTGCCTTCCATTTTTTCGTAAATGTCCTTTCTGTATTTCAGACTGAAGAAGATTTAAGGAAGATTAAAGAAAGGAGATGTAAGTAAATACATAGAAAATAGATGTGTGCTCATGAATGTAAAATAATGAAATGTTCATTTAAGTGAGTGTAATACTTCATACGATCACTGTTTCACTCGTGTCTATCTCTTCCCCAGTGGCATCTTCTATTGATCAGCTTGTTTCCAAAAAAGATGCAGCTGCTGTGGATGGCGCCAGCACAAACGAGGATGAACCTCAGCTGTCCACAGAGGAGAGGGAGTTTCGTGAATACCTGAGATCCTTGTTTGAGGTTGTGGTCCTGTTAGGAAAACAGAGCCTTTCTTTAGTGGCTGACGAAGAATCAAAAGCTGGACATGTGTCCAACAACTTCCAGGCCCTTCTGGATTACCGAATGAACGCTGGAGATGAAGCTTTGAGGAAGCGTTTTGAGGCGACTGCTGTGAACACAGAATACCTCTCTGCAATGCAGCGGACCCAGCTCTTGGACGTCTGTGAGAACACAGTGAGGGAGGAGATGCTGATGGAGGTGCGAGAGAGTCGCTTCTTCTCCCTGGTGACGGGGGACCTTGTTGAATTTGGTAACGAGAAGCACCTGCCATTGTTTTTACGCTTCGTGAACCAGCAGAACGTCCTTCGTGAGGAATTCTTGGACTTTATGTCTTTCGATGGCGATGAGGCCGCGCTTGTAGAGAGATTGGAGGCTCAGCTGACCGACCGTTGGGGACTCAGTATGGAGGACTGCCGTGGTCAGGCCCACAAGGCGACTGGTACCTCCACCACCAAGATGAAAGCCGTGGCAGTGCTACTGATGGAGAAGTATCCTCTGGCACTGCACATGTCCTGCTCGCATATAGCACTGAACGTCCACCTGACAAACAACCTGCCTTTTCCCAATGTCCAAGTTGTCATGGAGACTCTGAGGAGGATTGGTGCTTTCTTTAGTGTCCCTTTTACCCAGAATGAGCTAGAAAAAGCCATCTGTACTCAGTACCCGAAAAATGAAGAAAAGGTAACTGCGCTGAAACAAGCCTGTGTCTCAGGATGGACGGAGCAGCACAATGTCTTTGACGTCCTGTTAGATCTGTTGCCGCCCCTGCTGCTGTGCATGGACACCATCCGGGAAAATGGTGAAGGGAAGTTTGCTAACTCCGCTGCAGCTGATGCATATTCAATCTCAGAAACTCTGGCTGACTTTGAGATCATTGTCACCATCGTCATCCTAAAGAATGTCCTCACGTTCACCAGAGCCTTTGGAAGAAATCTCCAAGGTGAGACGCTCGACGTGTTCTTCGCCGCCAACAGTTTAACCGCCGTGCTGCATTCCCTGAACGAGGTCAATGATAATATTGATGTCTACCACGAATTCTGGTTCGAGGAGGCTGTGAGTGTGGCCAACGTAATGGAGATTCCTGTGACGGTGCCTCGGCTGTTTCTTCGGAAGCAGCGTGCAGCCGATGTGAGTGAAATCCAAGTAGAGGGGTATTACAAGGAGTATGTGACTGTGCCCGTTATCCACGGCGTCATGCAGGAGGTAGAGGACATGTTCTCTGAGACCAACCTCAAAGCTCTCAAGTGCCTGTCCCTCGTCCCAGCCGTCATGGGCCAAATGAAGTTCAACACCACGGAGGAGAACTACGCAGAGGTGTACCGCAATGACCTGCCCAACCCCGACACGCTGCCTGCAGAGCTGCACTGCTGGAGAATCAAGTGGAAGCACAGAGGCAAAGAGGTGCGCCTGCCCACCACCATCCACGAAACGCTTCAGCTGCCAGACGTCAAGTTCTTTCCAAACGTGAATTCCTTCCTTAAGGTGCTTTCCACCCTTCCGGTGCTGAAATTAGAGGACAACAAAAGCGACACAGCGAGCAAGCGGCTGCAGACTTATCTTAGCAACGTGCCCTCCAAGCAGTGGAACAAAAGTCTCTCGATGCTAAACATTAACACTCACGTCAAACACGACCTGGACGTCATGGTAGACAAATATTGCAGACTGTATCCAGAGGATGATCCTGAAGCTGAGGCTGAGGCTGAAGCTGAAGGTGAAGCGGAGGCTGAGGCTGAAGCGGAAGCGGAGGCTGAGGCTGAAGCTGAAGCAGAAGCTGAAGGTGAAGGTGAAGGTGAAGCTGAAGGTGAAGCGGAGGCTGAGGCTGAGGCTGAAGCTGAAGCTGAGTCAGAGGAAAAAGCTGAGGCTGAAGCTGAAGCTGAGTCAGAGGAAAAAGCTGACGAAGATGTGGAGATGAAATGATATGACAGACACTGAGCTCACATTGTCATTCATCAAAAAACAAATTCTCCTTATTTTGGTCCCTCTTTTGAGTTTTGGTAATAAGTAGCCATATTTGGAGGTCAGAACATGTGCCACCACATAGAACAATATCAAGGGCACATCATGTAAATATTCATAGTTCAGTCTTTGTGTGTTCTTCTTAGCTTAGACTGATTTATATAAAATCTCTTGATATTACAGAAAAAAAATGTTGTCTGTTTTTTTTTTTTTACTGCATCATTTATTTGTTGCATGTTTGAGGTGAATGGTGTATTCTCCACAAATGGCCGACCTTAGACATGAACTTTTGAATATGAAGCGCATGACCAAGGCAGGTTTCCCTGTGACAGTCTGCCGACAGTGAAGTGACTCTCCTTCACTGACTGTGAGGCAGGAGGGGCACAAGAGGGAGCAGTTACACCAACATCAGCAGATCCCCCTCAACTCATCCACAACAGGAAGCAGTCAAAACAGATAGTGCTGAAGGTAGTTAAAATGCCACAGTGATTATATAAAACACATTTCGCCTCACAATGTTAAATTACTTACTGGAAATTACTTTTCTTGAAAATAAAACTTTTATGAAACTGCAGTAATAATTTGTGGGCAACTCTATTTTTCTTTTATTATTCAAGAAAGTTGACTAATCTAGCAAAACAAAATTCATAAACCTTTCACTTTTTTAATAAATCGTTTTTTTTAAATACAAAAAAAATGTTTTTGTCTGGTGACATTTTTAGTTTTATTTTGTCTTTGGTTCTGAGTGTACGTTTTTAGATTCAACTGCTTTAGTAGTCACATTCAATTAAAGAAAAGTAAAATAATGTGGAAGCTGTAATTGATATTACTGTTTCATTATTGCAGTGTCATGCACAAGTAATAAATCCTTGCTTTCTCTTGTAGCTTAATCGGCCATTTCCTTGAAACGCTACAACAAAGCACCTCTAACATCCATTGTTTGAGGATGGTATGTTCTGATATGGCAGCTCAGGAGTTAAACGTGTCTCCACCCTCTCTGCTGGCCAGACGATGACGAGCTCAGGTGATAGTTCACCGTGAACACTCGCGGTGCAGACCCCGGGAATTACACAAATGTGGGTGGGGTCGCTTTGATGCGCAAACCAGACAGCAATGTGCACTCCACGGCAAACCCCCTTAAAGTCCACTTCAAACTTCCTGTAAGAACAAACAGCCTGCAGAAGGAGGGGAGGCGTGGGGGCTCCACTTTACTCAGTGCCACTGAGAGATAGTCGCAACATAGAGCGTGAGGACCCCTGACTGGACAGAAACTCAGGGTACGGGGTGAGAGAGCGAGCACTCGAAAGTCTTCCGACTCGTGAGTAGGACGTTCATTGGCACGTTTATCCCTGATCAATCGCTTTTCTTTCCCCCCACTCTGTGCATCTTCTTCCTGTCAGCCTCCTCCGAGTATTCATTCGCATCATGGCATGGCCTTGCATCACGCGTGCTTGCTGCATCAACCGCTTTTGGACCGAGCTGGACAAAGGGGACATCGCGGTGCCTTTGGTTTTTACCAAATACTCGGATGTTGCCGACGTGCAGCATCTTCCCCATCATCCGCAGCCGAGGCTGAAGAGGGCCGGCGCCATTGCCATAGAAACCGAACCCCATCCCGGCGGCGAGCAGCAGGAGGCTGGGAAGGCACCGCCCGCGACGGGTGCCGCAGCAGGCAAAGATGGCTCTTCTGCATCCGTCATGCGCCAAGACTTCAAGGCGTGGAGAGTGCGCCCCGAACCCAGCTGCAAACCCAGAAACGAGTTCCAGCGCTCACAGGCCCCGTTTAACAACGAAACGCAGTATCAGAAGGACTACAAGCCCTGGCCTATACCCAAGAAGCACGACCACCCCTGGATCCCCAAACCAAGCCCCACCACCACCACTGGTGTCCCAGAGCGGAGCGCAGGGAGCGGTAAGATGGAGCACGCCGAGGCCGAGAGCGGCGTGGAGAAAAGCGAGATCGAGGAGAAAATTCAGGAGAAAGAAGCAAAGGAGTTGATGATGAAGAAGAGCGAGAAGAGGGAAAAGTCTGCGGAGAGACAAACTGGTGAGAAGACTGAGGGACAAGTTACCGCAGATGCAATGAGCGCCGAGCAGAGGAAAGGCAGAGCAGCTGCAGACGCTTTAAACAAGCAGATAAAAGAGGTCATGTCGACTTCTAGCAGCTACAGGTAAGTGTGTGTGTGTGAGAGAGAGGAATATGGCCAAGAATGACGCAAATGTTGTCCCAACATTAAAATAAAAAGGACGTTTTATTGACTTTACTGTGACTTTGCAGTTTATTCCCAAGCTATCATGATTGGTGCATTCAAAAGCTCCCTTTTTTTTTTACAAAACACCCACGAGAGCACCTGACTACACAGTGGTCTGCGTGTGCCATGTTACTACGCCTACTGATATCATTTAGGGACTATCAAGGGAGACTTGGTAGTGCATGCTTTCTCTTGTTTCAATCTCCCCTGATTTCCAAGAGAAAAGTGATACGGACAGAGATAAAGGTTGCACTATTGATTTTTTTTGTGGCTTTATCCTCCCTAAGAGTACTATCAAATCAATGCTGCAGCCCATCAATGAGCCAGTAAAAGGGTCTAAATGTAATCATGTGTCTCAACAACAAAAAAAGAAGCAAAAAAATCTGCACAGGCTTCCTCCAAATTAAACTGACGATGCATAATGTATGCAAGCTAACTAGATTTACTGGCTTCAGTCTGCCCCACTGAACTATTGTTATAAAGAAGCATACATTAACTCAACTGACTAATTAACTTAATGTGCCATGTTATTAGATTATTCATTGAATAAACAATAACAAAGAGATAATAAGAGGCAGTTGAACAGAAGACGTTGTGCATCCAAACTAAACAAAGAAAACTTTAGAGATGACACAAAACACAGGCAAATAAAATACTCACACAGAGAAAATCGGGAAATATTTGGTCTAGAATTTATATGTTTGGCACAACACTTTATCAAATTGTCAGTTTAATAGATTGTTTTCCCCTCTCGTTTATTTGACAGGGACAGATGCAGTATACATGGAGAACTGAACAACAATTTCCCAATGCACTGCACCACAGAAATTATAGCTCACTCTAATTTGTCCTGTCCCTGAAAAGGCCTTTCATTTATGATGCATACTGGATAAAATATATGGAGAGCATTCTTACAGAAATAACTCATCTATGTTACATTTGGTGGACAGTTGTAAAAAGGTTGTCAGTATGCACATATACAGATAAGCACCCCACACAAATGCCTTTACACACAAACGCACATACGGATTCTTAATCACTAGATGGTAATTACTTTTCTTTAGTCAAATAGGAAAACTTTGATGGTGGTATTTTAAGGAGAATGACTAATGGTTACAATTCAGACCCCAAATATCAAATTGCAGATTTTATTTACAGGAACATTTCACTGGAATAAATGCTAAACAGTCAGCCAACATAAAGAAATTCAATGTTCCTATTTAAAAAAAAAAAAGAAAAAGTCTGATACAAGTGAGTTCTCTAAAGAGTTAAACAGTTTGTAATCATTTGCATGAAGATAGCTGCTCGTGGTGACATGTATTCATCATTTAACTTGGGGTCTTGCAAAAATGAAGTTGAATGCCTACTACACATTTAACACTCATGTTGTAAATTAGCTTGTTGTTACTTTAAGCTGACGACTAGTTGGCTAGTCATGAAGGCAAGAAAGACAATCTTCAATATCAATCGCGTCAGATTTCAATTGTCTAGTCCATCAATAGCTCAATAGGTGATTAACCCTTACTTTACATTTTCAAACTGAAATGCTTGTGCATCGTAACAAACAGACTAAAACCCAAAATATTAATGAATTGCCAAATAATTAGAGGTTGCTGCTCTAAAACTTCTCTGTTGCCTCTTTTTTTTTTTTCTTTGCTCTTATCATTCCTAGGACTGAGTTTAAAGCATATAAGGATGTGAAACCAGTGAAGGCCATTAAAGCTCCATCCCAGTATAAACCCCCAGTGGAGGAGAGCAGTCGGGAAACCAGCTACAGTGCCACATACAAGGGGGAGCAGGTGAAGGCTCAGCCCAACGACAACAAGGTGGTCGAGCGCAGGAGGATACGTAGCCTGTACAGTGAGCCCGGCAAGGAACCTGCCAAGGTGAGAGGATATCTGTAGTTTACTAGAGTTTCCTTTAAGAACATTAAGTCATAGAGCTATTTCTAAAACCAGCATATTGTAGGCTCAGTACTTGGGGATTATCACACTGTCCGTTTGAATTTGTGTTTAATTTAAGATTTAACTGACTGGAGCATTTTTACATGAATGTTGTTTTATTAAACTCATCATCCAAGTCCTTGTTGTACCCTAATGGCTGGTGGTTTGTTCTCAGTGTAATTAAACGCTAACAAAATAGCTTTGTATGTGATGGTTTAGATATTTAAAATGATAATATAAGCACTTGTTATTGTTGTGTTTTCTAATATTGCATGTATCTCATAGAGGAAAGTATTTAAAGAATCAGTCTGTCAGTCTAAACTTCTGTTGATTCAGGTGTTATTAGCCCATAAAAAAAAGACCAGATATACATAAGAGCCAAGTATCAGCTATATGTAAGCTGGACAACCCATGTTGCCATTATACAAAGCATATTGGCTATGGGAGGTGTTAAAGCAGAGTATTGCATTCGTTTGAAATGTTGCATTTTATTCCAACTTTGGATAAAAAAAAGAGACTTCATCTTATAATAATTAGGCCTTAATAAAAGAATGTTCTTAACATAGAGTGGTATCTTTGACATGCTAATGACTGTCAGGGTTAAAATGGGTAAACAATGTGTCTGTAGACGTGTTTTCATATGGCCACTCCCTCTCTCATTCTTGTAGGACTTCTCAGAGACTGAGAGCAGCTCTGTTCTAAATCTGCTGTAGTCAGGTGTGTTCTCTGTTTCTTATAGAAGGCATGGAGGCTGACCTCAAATTGATCAAACGCAAACCTGCATTCTTACGTACACACATGCACACACACATGCACACACATGCTCAAATGTGCCTTGGCCAGTATGAGCCACAGTCACATGTATCACCATGCTGCCAGATGCAATCCTGCAAAGAGTATCAGTCACATCTTCACTTTTTGCCCTCCTCTCAGCCTGCATCACCCTCCACCCTTTGTGCAGCGTAGGAGTCTCATGCAGATTCTGCAGGCTTATTAAAGAGGGTGGATTCATTAATGACCGATACATATGATAAAGCTTAAACAGTACTGATATAACTAATAATAAGTAAAACATTAGAAGAGACTCTGACCATTAGTGACTAAAGTCTTCTAATTTGATAAATTAACAGTTAAACAGCGATTATTAGATTGTGCTCTACTTTTTTGACAATGTATTTAGCAAATGACATCTGGTCAAATGCCATTTTGTTTAAAGGTTTTCTGAGTCTGCACACCATTGGCTCACTTTGAATTGAACCTCATAGAAGTGGTTAATGAGGCGCAGTATGATGAGCCAACGGCAGTGGAAAGTGTTTTAGGGAATTTTTGTTAACACTGTATGCAGATGATGTTATACTTTTGATATCTGTTTTGTAAGTAGCCATGATATGCAGCTGAATATGATGCAGCTTGAAGATGAAGATGAAGATATTTTTAACCAAAATGATTTTCAGCATCAACAATGTATGGAGACCCTGAATTCCCAAAAAGTAAAAAAAAAAAAAAAAAAAAAGATAATAACTTGTTCCCAAAAGAGAATTATATTTTGCACAGGCATTATTATCTTGGATTCTCAAGATAATCATATTGTGTGGCCACAATAAATAATGTCACTTTTTAGGAATTTTGGGTCTCTGTTACAATGACTCCCCAAAAATGAAAGGTTACATTATAAGTTAAAATGCTCTGTTGCATGGTGCAGAGGGCATTTGTGGTTTATAAATGGCAATCCTGTAACACAGCCATTTTTCTAATTTCACTTTGTTTGTCTGTCCAAAGACTTAATGTTTTTACATTTTCAAAAATAAAGCCCTTTATCTTACTCTTAAGGAACATTTTTTACAATCCATATCTCTTACAATAAAGATTTTAATGGTTTATTTCTATACAGCAAAAGTTGAGCATGTTTGCAGCTTTGTTGCTGTTAACCCATCTCATTTCTACAAACTAAACCTGTCAGAGTCTATGCAGAAGTATTGTGTTGATTGCAGCTCAGGCATTAGAGGATTGACCTTGCTTCAGAGCATATTAATCTCTGCACCCACAGCTTCCCTGTTGGTCGTTGAAACAGCGATCCTCTAGTCACATGCCTGGTTTTCTTAAATCATCTATCGTTTTCCAACACTTTTGGTCAATGGTTGAATTTTTGCAAAATAAATAATTCCTTAAAGCACAAGCAACTAAATGCTTAAATAAACTAATATGAATCATAGACTTTGGTTTTTATGCTTTTCCTTTAAGGTTAGTTTTAATGACAAACTGCACGATCCACTGTTTTAATATTATGGCACAAATTCACCTTTTGTGCTGTATTTATTTTCTTAGATCTTCATTGCACTTACCACATCATGCAAATATCACCTGTACCATACGGTGTCATTTGCGCTGTCATTATATAGAGTAAGAGGATGCAAAAGGTATGTATTGCATGCTGAAGTTGGACTTCGAGTCTCCTTGAATTAGGAACCTGTTTAGAGGAACTGTTAGACTCGTATCTGAAATGCATTTATTGTCTTTCTTGTGAAGAATTAGAAGGTTAATAACCAGCTTACTTGTGTTGCTAAATATGTAGCTACAGCCAGCAGACTTCCTTGAGTCTGGCTGTTAGAGGGAGCCTTCACTGCTCCCATTAAAGAAGTAGTCCAGGGCATGAACCTGGAATATCTCTGTTTTTCTTTAAACCTGTGGTTTAACCACAACTAAGCTAAGATATCCTACTTCTGACATGAGAGTGGAATCAACCTGTTTCTTCACAAAAGAGCAAAAAGGTGCATATCCCAAAATTACAACTATTGCTTTAATAGGTTAAGTTTTAAACTCTTACTTTGAAAGGGTGTTCGATATCATTGTTTGCACTTCTTTTCTCTTTCAGGTGGATAAACCAGTGTCTCGCACCAAACCAAAAAAGACACCAACAACAACAACAGGGAAGATGGTGAAAAAATCGAAAGAGAAGGTGCTTGCTAGTTCCCAGTCAGCCAAGAAGAAACCATCTTTGAGCGCTGCAGAAGCCAAACCAGAGGGAGTTGTGACGAAGAAGAGCAAAGAGATCAGCAACAGACTGGCTGAAGCAAAGCAGTAAAAGTAGTTCATCTCTCAACACTTTTGCGAGCGCGATCAAAGGCCACTTGACAAATTAGTCAAACTTCTTCCCTTTGGTTTTTTTCCCCCTGACCTGTTGTTCACTTATGAATGGGCACTGATGTTAAGCTTTTAGAATAATGCAAATAAGTTCACTGTAAATGGTGAATGTGAGTGTGTGTATGTTGATGTGTGAAAGTATGTGATTCCTTGTGTTTTGGTGCACAGAAACGCTTTATATTATTGAGCACATAATTTGCACATTCTTTATATAAGTTGTGTTTGGCATCGACCTATAAAAAAGAGCCATGAGTACACACGTAATGTCTGTTTGAAAGGGCATTTTTACCTTTGTCTGAATGGTCGATAATTCAGATAAATATTCAAATGATTGTATCAATGTCAGGGGTGGACGCTTTTTTTCTCTGAGAGGTTTTGAGATAGTACAAATCTGATTTGTGTTTCCTAGTTACAGTGCCTCCGCTGTATGGTCCTGGTTTTCATTTCGCTGGTCTGGATGATATCTGGTTTCATCAGTTTGGTTGCTTAGAAACCAAATGATCTGTAATATAATTGCTTGCATGCAGGACCCCATTTTTGGCTGAGTAGCAACATTTAAGCAGACTCGAAGTCACAGTCACATTTTAGCCTGTAAATTGAGCCATTTAAGATCAATGTAGAGGGGCAAGGCCCTTTCAAGTATAATGCATGTGTAGTAATAGATTCTGGTCACAGTGAAAAACTGAAGTACATACACTAAGTAAATCATAGTCTAATGGCTGTTCAAGCTATTACACAAACACACCAGCAATATGGTTTCACCCACAAACATATTTCTTGCAATCTAAGAGGAAATCATCTCCTTTGTCCGAAAGGGAATTCTGCAGATTTGACAATGACTCAGTATCTTGTGACGTCCATCCTCTCATCTGAGCTGTGATGTTGTAACTGTGCTAAATGAAAAAAAGAATACCTATTAGCCCAGAATTTATTGTATTTACTCTGTGATTCCCTCTCTGAATGGGCTGATCTCTCCAGGTGTTGAAGGACAAAGAATGAGCCAGGACTCGTAGTTCAGCTATCAAAAATGCTGCTGTCTGAAAATGCGCAAATCACATTCTGTTCATTGTGAGCATGACATGAGGTCATTTTACTAAAATGTCATTACATCCTTCCCTCACGGGTTGTTAACACACATTTGTCTATCTTGATGCCCTAAGTGGCCAGCGTTGCTGCAGTGTGCGAGAGTGTTACCCACCGTTAGTCTGCTTCCACTTTTAGCTTCTGCGTGAGTGAGTGAGAGAGTTTTTGTGTCTGACCTCTACAGCCTGCTGCCTGCTAGCATCAAGTCTGACCCGACGACTAGACGTGCTGCTATGCACTCCAACACCCTGGTGCTATATCTCTCTTGTTGTATATGCTGTCTGGTTGGGGCTGCGTGTGGTGTCAGGCCACAGTGAAATGATGATATTACAATGTCATACCGCTGCAGACATGTTGTGATATTGTGCTTGTACTCTCAGCTTGCTCTGAATGAACTCTGATTAAAATGATGATGCAGAATCATGTGTTGTGTCTCCTCTCTGTTGGGAATTAATTAGTCTTGTAATTTATTTTGAAAACTGAAATATAGTATTTTACCTTCATAACGTCAATCTGAGCTTTTTTACATCTTTAGAATAAATCAAGACCTGAATCAAATAGCTCAGCAAACTAGCAGAGTACATGCTGAAGGCAATCTGAAAAGTGAGAAGTTTGCAACGCCATAGTGTCGTGTATTAATGTCCTAACTGTACGTTTGCTGTTGATTTCTAAAACAATCTAGTGAAATGACCTTGATTTTCACTTGTGTTAGTTAGCACCAATTAAATATTAGAATGAAAGCTGATACTGACAACAATGTGAAACAAATACAGTTAAGGGATTGCTTGAGGACTCTTGATGAAATTTAGTTGAGAGTAAAATATTTACAAAATCTAAAAATGCATTGTCATGCCCTCAATATAGTATATTCTTAAATAATATCACAAAACTACGATATGTATGAAAATGTTTCTTATCATAATGAGAAATTGCTGCAGTAAATTAAATTATTGAATTACTACTTGAAATTCTACTCAGTTGGTACAATTCTATAATTTTTTATGGAATATCTTCAAAATCTTTTTCCAGGCCGGAATTATACTCCAACAGCACACCAAGAGGCCAAAGCAGGCAATGTATGAAAGTTTTTTTTTTTTTTCAAGAGTAGGCATGTTGTGTTCTTCAAATGCTTTAATACTTAAAATTCAGCAAACATTTGGAGCCATCTAACGAGTGTTTTTCTTGATACTAGATGTCATCGATGCATTGCACTATCCGTTATACAAGCCAAATGTTATTCTCATCAAACACAACAAGACTCTTAAATAAAAAAAAGGGAAGATACAAAGTGATCTTTATTCATTTGATTCACTTGGAAGCTTTTGGATGTTGATTGTCATTTTCCTGTGAATCAGTCATCCTGACATAAAACGCCATGAATAATTCAGTTGTTATGGGCCCTTATGTTTGCAGAGCAGCATGAAATATTGAGTAACAGATCAGTTATGGCACTAGAGCTGCCTATGCTCCACCCTTTCTTTAAAAGACTTGTCTGGCTGGTAACAGTCTCACCTACATAGCTTCTTCTATCACACTGAAAGGGTGAAATATTATACTTGTCTCACTGTGTATGAATTATTTGTTTTGGAGGCAAATTTGTTCATATTGAAGCTGAAGGCTAAAAACCACTTCTGGCCATAAAAAGGGAAGCTATTTTAACCAAAATGGTCATTTGGTTAAGCTACTTGTGTTTTGTGTGAAAAAGCCATTACATGAATGTCGATAACGTAATCAGCCAATTATCGGCAGCGTGGGAGGATCTATAGGTGTTACAAGTCTGAGTCTATACAGACCATTCTCTGACACAAATTAAAGAAATCCACCTTACAATGAAATGTGCACAACAACATAAATGTCTATCTAAAAAAATCTGCATTGTTACTGTACAGCATTGCATGACTTTATTTGAACTGTATCGACTTTGCATTAAAAAACATGCTCCCTCATGAAGATATTGTATTTCTTGGGCAGCAATACATTGCGTAGTGGGTTGCAGATTGTCAGCAAATTATGACCTCTAGTGGTAAGTATCTATTGCACAATTTAAAAGCATCATGTGAACCTGGATAATGTGTGAGGTGGCTGAGGGCCAAGAAAAGTAGTTCAGATTTCCTCTCTGCTACCTCCACTTCTTGGTACTGTTCCACGTGTTCCCAGGCTTGATCGGATTTTTCATTCCCGCTGACGTTAATTTCCCCACTTCCTGCTTGGACATCTAGATAGGCTACTTGCCAACACCTTTTGATACAATGTGATTATTATCATGCAACACTGTAACCAAGATTGGGTTTTTTAACTACATATCTAAAACTTCAATGGTGGGGGTTTTGTTGGCCTGCACTCGTGTGTGAAAGAATTTCACTGAACATGAGGATTTAACTTAACCAACATTTAACCAGTGGACATTTACAAGAAAGGAAGGTGGAGTTAACTTCAAATTTTATTATGCATTGATTCAAGGGTTACAGACAGCCCTGAACTAATAAAGTAACATCAAGCCATCACATGTGCATGTAAGTTTCTCCTCTGTCCTCTGCCTCAACTACATATAGGAATTTAGAATTAAAAAAATAGGTACTCAAAAAAATCATGGATTTCTTTTTTCCAAACAGACCTTAAGCAGTCTGAGATATAAAGAGACATTTTGTTAAATGTAAGTTAATTCTCTCAACAAAAGAAAGAGTGATGGCAAGAAGTTTGGCATGGATTGCATGATTTAACAAAACAATGGAACAAAGCAACAACAAAAAAAAGACATCGCTGCACAGCAACATAAATAAAAATGTGCCAGGATAATCAAAATATATGATGAAATTTGCAAACTTGTAATGTAGAAAAACAACCTGTTGTAAAATATTTAAAAAAAAAAAAAATTGTTTTACCATTTAAAATTATTTAAAAAAAAAAACATAAGCGTAATTTACTGGGATTTATACGAGTTTTATTAAGAAAAAAACATGACATTCAAATAATTTTTTACAGTCTACGATTTAAATACGGTGAAAGACTCCGGCCCTGTAGCGGGCGCTGTGCACTTTTCTGTCCCGTACACGAAGAAGAACAATTTCCCGTGTGGTTGAGGCTCGCGCTTACAGGAAATAAACAAAAGCAGACAAGCTGAGAGGAGGGAACAAGAACAGAGCTGCAGCAGCAACTTTCAAATAACACCCGTAAGAAGCATTTAAATATGTAGCATTACAAATCTTGGAAACATGAATGTGTTTTATACATTAAACTAAAGTGAAGATTAAACAAATGTCTCATGTTTAAAGGTTAAATGGTGATTAACTTTGGGATTAGCACAAAGTCAACCTAGAAGCAAACCTGTGTGACATATATATATATATATATATATAATATAGCCATTTAGTCAGCATTAGAATTGAACTTATTGAAGGCTACAGTTTCCCTTCCTCTCTGTTTGAATGTCATGTTTGTGTGAAGGTGTTCAGGATTGAGCTCATGCAGCTGAGCAGGTCGTTTCTTTGACCACCATGATGACGACTAAGAGGCTGGATAATTTCGAGGTGGTGTGTGAGTGGGGAGGATGCAACTTCAAGGGACACACCATGGAGGAGCTGAGCGATCACATGTCCCTGCATTTAAAGGACTACCTTGGAGACAACGATGCCTTAGAGGACTTGGGTGAGCGAGAACAAATACAGGAGCAGAGCTGGGGAAGGTCACCGAAATCAATATTGTTTAAATGGACTTGAGCTTGTAAAAGCGCTTTTACACTGCAGGTCACACCCACCCGTTCACACACTGATGGTACCATCACAGGTAACTAATCCCATTCATACACCACCGCTGAAGCAGTGGGAGCAACTTGGGGTTAAGCGTCTTGCCCGAGGACACATCGGACATGTTGCCCAGCTGGGGATCGAACCCTCGACCTTCCGTTTGAGAGGCGACTCTACCAACTGATTAGCCCCATTAACAGTTCATTCATCAAAACCTTTAAGCAGTCAGAACGTCTTTTTTTTTGGATCAAAACGCCCTATAATGTTCAAGAGCATGAAGTAACTAATGGAGCATCTCAAACAATTATTGACTTCTCTCAAAGTTTACCTTTTCATTTTATTTTTTTTTTTACCTGTGGCTTGAACAAATGTAGGCAATCCCAGGATCAAATCTGTGAGATATAATGTATTACATTAGAGAGATGATATTTAGAAATGACTGGACTTTTTCATACTGTTAACGTGAATAAAAATGTATCTCCTGGAATAAAAAGGCAGGTTTTTATAGGTTTACCAAAAAATTACAAAACTCTATTTAATAAATATGATAAACACAGATCATGCTGATGTTATTTATATTGGTTATTGCACGGTATCCAGTTTGGTGCCCAGCTCTGCTTAGTAAACTCTCAATATATCCACATTTATATCCTGTTATGACTTTAGTTTCTTAATTGCAGATATAACTCTCTCCTTCTCTTCGTTTAGACGAGTACGCCTGTCTCTGGACTGGTTGTGAATTTCTATCCATGGGTAGCCCCACAGAGCTGGAGTTCCACGCGTACTTCCACAACTACCACGGCAAGCTCAAGTTCATCGGCTCTCAGCTGCTCAAGTCCCGTCCTGACCTGCCCAGCTGCAACCAAGGCCTGCACAGCAACAACCTGGTTCCCGAAGGGTCGGAGGGATACGTTTGCCAGTGGGAGAACTGTGATGTAGGTGATTTATAATTCAAGTTATGCAATGATCGCCAAATGTCTGTTAGCACTATCATTATTTATTTTCTATATTTTTATCTTCAACGCAGAGCACATTTAACAACCCAGAGTGGTTCTACAGACATGTGGACAATCATGTTGAGAGTGCTGAGCCAGAGTCTCTCCCACAGCAACAGCAGGCTCTCTTCTGCCACTGGACAGGTACGACTGAGCGAGACAGATGTTAAAGAGATGTTCCTGGTGTGTACATTTCTCTGTGGTGGTGTCGTCTCTGACTGATGTTTGTATTGAAGGCTGTGATGCTTACTTCAAGATCAAATACCGTTTGAGGGAACACATGCGGAGTCACACTCAGGAGAGACTCGTAGCCTGTCCAACATGTGGCAGCATGTTCTCCAGTAACACCAAGCTGTTCGACCACCTTCACAGGCAGGCCGAACCTATAGGTGAGGGGGACACTTTATTCTATGCTGATGTGTTACATGTACATTAATGAATAAATGCTGACTTTGTGGCTTTGCAAATGTCTCTTTCAAACAGAGTCGCTGGTTTGTGAACATTGTGGCAAAGCTTTTTCCAGCGAGAGGCTTTTGAGGGATCATGTTCGTCAGCATGGTAAAGATCATTTTCCATAACTCTTATCTTCAAATGCTGTCAGATTGAACTGAATTAGATTTCTAGGATTACTTCAGTCACATCTAATAATTCAATAAAAAACTTTGTATTTGGCACAGTGTGATCTTCAGATGTTTTCCAATCATTATACATCCAGATATTTTTGTTTCTGTCTTGATCAGAATCATATTAAGGCTGTTTTATAATATGAACCTGTTATTATTAAAGATTGCATTTGTTTATTCACTAGTCATACACCAGTAAGTCAGCTCAGGTTTGGAGGCTCGTCATTATTATGTTGTCATCGAGTTAGTCGTGTTAAATCTGGTCTTCAGGATTAGATTGGGTGAGGTCACAGCAACTATTTGATTAACCGACATCAGATGTGTAATCCATTTCAGGTTCTTTTTTTTTTTTAATGTGTCATTTTCCTGCTTTGTTCTTTTTGCTCTTAGTGAATCAGGTGAAGTGTCCCTTCTGTGACATGACCTGCACCACTCTGGCAGCTCTGAAGATCCACATCCGGTTCCGTCACTGCGACGAGCGACCCTATCCGTGTGACTTCTGTGACAAGAGGTAGACCTTCACATCAGCTTATTTGTTGTCTGCACCTCTGTTGTTTGGCAAAGAAGTGGCTACACATTACACTTATGAACTCATTCCTGTCTGATTCTATATTTTCAGAATTTTTGGGGGCACAATGCAGTTTCAAAGCAGAAACACTCAGCAACTTACCGAATACTCCCCTCTTGATCTTTAGCATATGAAAAACACCACCTCAGCATATTTTTTGATAATGTCTTAATTCATTTAAGTCGCAGAAAATCCCCTGACATTTTCTTTAATGTTATCCAAACATCTCAATTTTAAGACTTTAACTGAAACCACATATTAAAACATTCCTGTTAGAAATATTACAGTTGACTTTATTTGTTTGGGAATTTAATTTAAATATTAATCTAATGAGTTATTATGTATCTGTGGACTGTAAACTTGGACTTATATTAGCTCTTTGCAATGAAGTTGTCCTACTCTTTTTATTTTTTTATAAATAGATTTAAGAACCAGCGCGATCTACAGAAGCACACAGAGGTTCACAATGAGGGCACAGTGTATCACTGTACGGTGGAGGGATGCGATTATTCTTGTCACACATTCCCAACCATGAGCCACCATTTCAAGAGAGTGCATGAGGTTCGTAAGCGGAAAAGGTTCCTTCATCCTCATCAGTGAAAACATCAGTCTGATTAATAGTTGCAGTGATAAACTGTTACATGCATTATTTAACTTGCTTCATGTTTACTATCAGGTTGGAGGCATGTCCAAGTATAAGTGCCATATCTGTGATAAGGTCTTCTCCTGGTGTTACACTCTCACTCTACACCTTCGCAAGAAGCACGAGCTGAAATGGCCTTCTGGACATTCCCGCTTCAGGTAGGTCACTGACAAAAGGGATTTCTAAAATTCATGCTTTTCCCCAGTTATTGCCCCAAATTTAAGAAATTAGAAGACAAGTAAAGACTAAAATGAAAATGAGATGAGTATTTGTTCCATGTGTTTTTTTCCGCTGCAGATACAGAAAGGATGTGGACGGCTTCCTAAAAGTAAACATGGTGCGCTTCGAGACAGTCGAAGTGACGAAGGAGATCATGAAGAACATGGCCAAGAAGCCGCAGAGCCTTCGGAAAAGTCAGAGAACCAGCAGCCGGAACAAGAGGGCGGAGGTCACGCTGGAGAGCGGACGCAGCTCTCCTGCAGGATCCTCCTCGCCCTCCTCCAGCTCCTCCTCCTCGTACTCTTCTGAGCTCTCCGGAGGTGAAGACGTTTCTTCTCAGCCCAGCCCCAGAGGCAGCGACTCCCCGGTCTACTGCGTCATGAGCACCATCCCTCACATCGAGGAGGAGCCTGGAGGACTGTCCCAGGAGGACTGTGATGGTGGTGGGACATCTGGAGCAGTCCAGGCCCTAACCGAGGTGGCAAGAGGCCTTGGTATGGACGTGGTGTAAGCTGAGCGGCACCTTCTGGTGACTCTTGTGCAAATGAACAGCCTCTTGTTTATTTTACTGTGAAGCTTCAGTGGATACACTGCTGGTGTTTTTGTTTTTCAGCCGGCACCCACTCGTGGTGTCCTGTGTTTTAAAAGTGCCGATACATTGAGACAGTCATCTCTGAACTGGTTTTAGAGACCTCTTACTGCAGCTCTTATTCCTCAGCTTAACTATGTGACGGCTCCTGTTAACCAAATCATCTGTTGAAGATAACCCAATATGTCTGAGTTTAAACGCACTACTAAACCATTCTATAATATTGCTCTTAACGTGTACTTTTACACATGTTCATTTTTTTCTGTCATGTTTCAGTGATGACGAATTTCAGAAGACGTGTATGATGTAGTGTAATTTTATTGATTCAAATTTTAAATACATTTTTGATACAAAAGCTTCTCTTGTTTGTGTTTGTTTGTCACGTCTGCTGTGGCTGAATGGAAACATGGATTGGTCTTTCAGTGAAAACTTTGACATATCAGGATGTTATTATGTCCAATACTTTAGTTATTGATCAGAAACCTGCACATGTCATTCCCAGAAGCCTCAGCTGTACTTTCTTTTCAGAGGGATTCAGCACATGTAAGCATGCTAACACACACTTCACTCGTGAACATGGTAGACATTCAGTGTAGCCTCCCTGCTAAACCTCTGCACCTGAGCGTTGTCACTGTCTTGGTCTCAACACCACTTTTTGAAGCTCTTGGTCTCGCCTCCTAATGGAAAGCATTTTTACTCAGTCTTGTCTCGGTCTCAGACAGCCCAGACTCCAGATTTTGAATCAAGACCATCACTGACAGGCTTCTTTTCCACGTCATTGCTGTGATTAGAAGGTAAACGCAGACTCGCCCTGCCTTGGTCTCGGTTTTGACTCGGTCTCAATCCCTAAATGTCTTGGCCTTGTCTCAGTCTCGGAGCGCCCTGGTCTCGGGTATGTCTTGATCTTGGTTAGTGTGGTCTTGACCAACAACACTAGTAGAAAGTCTCCCAAATATAGCTTTATAGAGCTCCAAGCATTTCTGCAGACCCAGAACAAGCAAAGGTAGAAACAATCCATTACCCCTTTATTTCTACATTTTTCAGTTTTACAATAATTTTGAAACCTTGACACAAAGAGCAGACGTCTAGAGTGTTCCTAAGTTCAAACTAAGTTTTGCGAAGGTGCTTTTTGGTGGGAAACAAAAATTCCAAAAGATGGAAGAACCAAGGCACTCTTCTGAAAAAGGTGAAAAGCCATTATTGTCTAGTATGTATGGTTATGTATTGAAGTAGCTGATTGTGTGCTGAGGACTAAGCCCTGAAGAAGGCTGTATGTGCCTCTACACGTGGTTTGTTGTCAAGCTTTTTGATGACTTCAACAATTTCGATGATGAAATAGCCAATTTATTCAATGCTTTCAACTTTTTTTTCCCCAGAAGAGCGCCTTGTTTTTTTCTTCACCGTTTTGATTTTTGACTAAGTCTTCTTCCACAGAGTTCATGTGAACCTGTCTATGACTAAATCAAACCAGCAAGCGAGCTGGCAGATGAATCTTCAATAAGAAATGAATAAAATGAAGGGAAGCATTAACAAGGTTAAAAAAAGTATTTCTCTCTAACTTGTTTTCATTTCTTGGACAGTGAGGAGCTCCCCTGAATTCATGCACGGATCAACTTGTCCAGTGAAATTGTTGTTCTTGGATTAGCTCTCCTGTTTTGTGGGACGGATCCTGGAGACTCAGTGTTCGAGGTTCAATGTCTGCAGAAAGTCGGGCTAGGGGAGCTGATATCTGCAGCAGAGGAAATGACACTTCTGCTTGTGTGGGTGCAGAAACTCCCTCACTGTGGTAAACGGTCTCCTACTGCCTGAGGGCGAGAGGGAAATAAAGAGGTGTTGAAGAGTAACCATGAGAAACATCTGTCTGCCTCTGTGCTACAGGAGGTATCCCCATCACTCTGCAGTTATTTAAGGTGAGCTCTTTTAAGAAATGTTGTCTCCAGTAGAGATCCATCCTTTTGTCTGAGTCCCACATATTTTGGTAGGAATGTAATTCAGCCCTTGGATAAGGAATGTGTCCAGTAAGAGTTCTGCTCACATCACATATATTACTGGAAGGGTACAAGACAGCAAAATCACTCATATGTTTAACTGGTTTGATGTGTGAAGAACCAAAGCTGTCCTCCACAGTTTCCTGCTTCAGCCTCTTCACTTCAAGGAAGCTGTCGCACTCGAGCTGCCGCTTCCTGACAGCCGAGCTGCCAAGCCTTTCACCAAGTCCAGCAGTCACCGTCTGATCCCGAGATTTGTCTCGAGGAGTTAAATCCTTTGTTTGGTTAATTTGTTGGCTCCTGCGTTTCTCCTTCTCATCAAGTTTCTCCTTCCAGAGCAGATGCCAGTGATGTTCCAGCTCCTCCCTATTACCGCTTTGGCAAGTTGCTGGTGAAGATGTGTGAAGGTCGGAGTGGGGTCTTCTGTTGAAGGAGCTGACATCTTCTGCTGCTTTTCTGAAGTATCCACATGGAGAGTCTATAACAGGAGAAGCAGGTCAGGCTTGATATTATGGCAGAATTCTCCCGTTTAGAAACAACATTTCTGGTACATTGAATCACCGTGATTTGAGTGTCTGCAGGAGGACCAGTCTGATTCTTTGTGTTGCACTTTATCAGGTAAGACAGCGGCTGGATGATCAGGTGTCCATTCACCGCAGAGATTGTCTGGTTTTTGCTGCATTTTCTGTTCAATGATGCATCAAATAGAATTTTTAAAGAACAAATTGTGAGTGGAATGTGTTACAGAAGTAGAAAACCTTTAGTAAAAACATGGCTGAACAAAAAAACAGACAAAACAGCTTTTTTATACTTAAAAAAAGATCATATTTCAAATCATATAAATCAAACTTTTTCCCATTTGTGTTGCTGCTTCAAAACAGAGTTAGTCGATTCTGTCAACTAAAAGTAATATAGATAAGTCAACATAGTTTGGTTATTAATATAAAATATTATCTCACAAATATACGACTGAATTAAGATTTATTTGTCAGTTTAAATCTTTACATTTGAACAAATAAAAAAGCCCCAAGTCCACTTTAACTGTGTTTTCACACAGTATGGCACAGAATTTAAAGAAAGAAAAACATTCAACTTTCTCACTGTAGTTGTTTTAAGTAATAAAATATTTGATACATATTCTTTTTTTACCTTCAGTCGTTGGTGGTGATAAATCCTCCATGCAATGCAGGCATGCATTGCACCCCATCTCCCTGGTTTCTGAAAGAAAAGATATTAAAAAACACATAATGTGAGTGATTATTCTCAGATTGCATCTTAATCAAATCTTATAATAAAACAAATCTTTTGGACTTTCAAAAAGGAAGCACGAGAAGAACCCAACTTGTCTCATCATGTTTTGACCGATGCATTGTGGACTCACCTTTGAGCTGAATAATTTGTGTGTTTCTTTGTGAAAGGCCGTGACGGGAGCAAACCAAGGCCTCGTGTCTCTGGGAGGGCGTGCCAGAAACTGTATGGTGAGAGAAGGTTAAACATTTTACAACATTAAACATGGGGGGGGGGGGCTTCAGGTGGTAAAAGTTCTGAATGAGATCACTTTCAATGTGATTTACACAGTATTGTGAAACATCTGCTTACATTACTGTCCCGAGTTCCCATTGGAGGGGCTGGTATGGTCGCTGATTGGTACAGGAAGGGAGTGAAGGCATGCTGGTGAGCGTGCTGAAGCATTTGAAGATGTTGAAGAAGCAGGAGGAGCGTATAGGGAGAGCACTGCTGAGAGGAGATGTGTGAGGAGAATGCAGTTTTAGTTCCTGAGCAGGGGAGATGATAAACTCACAGGGAAGACGTTTCTCACAGTGTGACAAGATTAGCTCCTGAGGCTACAACTGATTAGCCCTGTTCTATTTTAGCCTACATTAGTTTATATTTTGGCCAAAATGAAAGCACACAGGCTGCCTGGGTTCAAATCCAACCTGCAGCTCCTTTCCTGCATGTTATTCCCAGATCTCTCTCTCCCTGATTTCTGGCACTATCAACTGTCCTTACTCTCCTATAAAGGCACAAAAAGCCAAAAAATAAATATATATATATATATATTATTTTTTTTGATGATAATGATTTTTTAATGACTTCAAATAGTACATATATATACATTATACATTCACACTGAAAATCCATGAGCAAATGACATCATCCTGCTACAATGCATTACAGACGGTAAGCCAATTGAGGCCTTCAGTTTGCCAATCCGTTTAATTAATTTTCCAAGAACACATGATTAGTAATGCTGTTAGTGAATGAGAGCACTGCTATATGCAGCCTATCTGTATTGAATATAAAGTATGGAAGAAGAGGCAACAGTAGGGAAATAACTAGGATGCCTTTCAAAAACTAAATATGAGAATCTATGAGAAAAAAGACTCAAGTCGCAGTGAGGGTACACGGCAGTTTGTTCATTTTGAAGAATATTGCTTGCATCTAAATGAATTCAAACGTATTAAAACTTCTGATGTTTAAAAATCAATAAAACACCTCAGAAGTCTTTACAATTTGAGTGTCAGAAGTACCTACTGAGTTAATCATCAGATAATCAATTGGAACCTATTTTCATGTCAAAGCCTGAGTTAAGCCTTAAGTGTGTTTCACCTTCATTTGAGCTAATTTTCCACGAGTCATGTTAGTATTTGCTACTTTTCTGTTATTATTTGACTGTAAATTTGACACATTTTATTTCTAGGTTGTAAGTTAGATAATACAAACCATCGTACTCTGCTCTTTTTGAAATTCTTTCCTTTACATTGTATCTATTGAGCAGAGCGATAAGAGCGGACCTGATGCTTCTGTCGTCGTGTTGTTCCTCTTTCATAAAGCATAACGTGTAACATGGCAGAGATGATTTACAATTCATTAGAATCCAAGACAACACTTATCTAGTCTGCAACTAAGTCTAAAACTTATATTACACCAGTTTGTTGAATCTGCTTTTTTAGAAGTTTCCCAAAGATGATATTGATTAAAAGCCTCGTTATTCAATGGACACCTGCTGCTTTATTTTTGTGAGAAAAAGATTCATCTGAAATCCTTCTTCCTTGCATCGAAGTAAAAGAGCATAGGTAATTCGTTTCAATGACACACCACATTTTCCTCCAAACGATCTCCCTCCTGTGCCAGGAGTTTCTCCTCCATCCTCCTGTTTGTGTCCTTAAACCTCTCTGGGCCACAGCAATCCAATCACCTCATCCCTCCCTTCTCATAAAGACGAGATTAACTGGAGGTTACACATCCTACATTCTTAAAATTTTGTCCATGTCAGCGTGCTGCAGAAATCTCTTAATCTCATAAAGGAGCTGTTGGGAGCGCAAACAGAGTGAATGAGCAGCTCGCTGTGTCACCTGAGGACACT